TGTGAAAGTCTCTTCACCCAACCACTTAGTTAAATAACCATATGATGCTGAAATTTGCTCAGATGCTCTCCTTTGGTTTCCTGATTATTCAGTAACTTTAATAACGAAGAACATACCAGTAATTGCAATCTCATATATTTTTAAAACCAACTAACTCCGAACCCTCCCTTTCATTTTTGCTGTCTTATGTTCCTGCTTGCTGCTCCTCTCTTCCCCATCAGTTTTCTTTCTGTGTATTTCTAGTTAGCATCATGTTTTATTGTACGGTGCATTCCCAGATATTGGGATTTTCATCATATCTTCAGATGCTCCCAAGACCTGTCCTGTGTGTGCTTGTCAGTCATCTCTCCGGATGACCAGAGATGAGTTAGATCATGACTTGAGAAGAACTGTAGATTACTGCTAAAAGTGTGTGTGTATCACCAAAAACATTAAGGTCAGCAAATGTGTACCAATGTAAATTAAGCCCTGCCTGTGCTGGAATAGTTAAGTCTTACTTGCTAGGCTCTTAGGAGAAGCAATCCACTTGAGTCAGCAGAAGCCCTGTATGATAAGCTAATTTAAGCAGATTTAACTATTCTTTACACACTGTTTTTGGGTGAGCAGGGCATTCTGGTTGCTGGAGGAGGCTCTGCAAGACCTCTGCTCAGATAGAAACTTCAGCCGAGAAGCAAAAGGAGTAACAAGCTGCAGTGGGAACAAGAGGGGGGACACACTGTGTGCAGGTTGCAAAGCCATAATATCCGTATTCTGTGGGGATCACCCTAGAGGTTATGGTTCAGCTCTCATAGCAAAGCCCTTCCTGCATGTGAAAAAACAAACAAATTTGTTGCCCCAGACAGATTGGAAAACATTCAGTGTGGAAGGCAAATAAATAGGAGGTGATAGAAGTCTCTGTAATAATGACTAGAATGCAGAAAGGGCTTTTGTGCTTTCTCTGGCTTGTAACAGAGTGCATCAAAAAGTGACATTTGCTGCTTTTTCTTAATACTGCTAAGTGGAAATTTTTTTTTTAAACCTTTTTAAGCAGCATGTATCTGAAACAGTGATTTGGTATTGCAGCATTTGTGAAAGTTTAAAAACAAATTCAGCAAAACTGTGAAGTTGACATTTATGTGAGTAAGATACATTTTAGAGAGGATGTTAAGATCTCCATGATTTGGTTTTAAGCTGCCCTTTTTAATTACTAGGAATTAGTAATTGGCCTTTCTCTGAAGGTGTCTAGTCTTGATCAGTTAGAGTCAGAACAGTGTATTTAAGGGATCATAGATGTTATTTGATACGCAAGTTCCTGTATTGTGACTTAATTAAATAATTCATTATTACTGACTTAATTAAGGCAGTGTTTATTCAGTGACTTTGAACTCTTCAGTGTTTCAGTTCTTTTTAAAATTTGGCAGCCAATATGCACTGCTTCTCTGTATATATAAATTATTTCATGTAAGTAATTTTAATATATGAAATCCTACACTGACTTATAATGCAAGTTGCTGTACTTTAAAACTTAATTTTAATGAGGTTTAGTTCTTTTTAAAAAATCTAATTTGACTTTTAAAACAAACACTTTCTATTACAGGATTAAAGTCTCATTTTTATCAACCCTAAATTATTCTGCCTAGTTATTTAGGTCTGGTGGTTGGCCATGAGTCCAGCTGCCAGGGGAGAAGGCAGTGAGAACTGGGACTGAGATGAGCCTAGTGGGCAAGGGGCGGGCAGCCTCTGCCAGCTCTTCAGCAGCTGAGAATGTCATGGGCTTTGACAGGAGCCAGGGCTTGCTGGCATCGTGGTTTAGAGGTTGAAAGGCACAACCATAGAAAAGCAGTAGAGGAACTATTTATCCCTTTGATTTGATTTGGCTCTTGAGGGCTTGCTGATTCCTTGACTGTTGTTGAGTGCTCTCAAGTAGCCTCTCCATGGAGTGGTTCAGCTTTCCAGGCTATGCAAAAGAGGGTTTTGTCACTCAGCTGCTTTTCTCTCTTTATATACATACACAACTGTAGTACTCAGCTTTTAAGAAATATGAATGCGTGCTGCTTCCCTGTGGTGTGGTTGGTTTTGGAGAGTCAGACCCAAATGGGTAGATGCTCCTTAAGTGCACCAGCAGACCTCAAGGTCCTGTCCACTGCACTGGTGCCAACTCATTAATGGTGATAGGAGTGCCTGAGTATCACTTGGCAAAACTGTTGTGTCCCCATCCTGTCCTGGGGCCTCCAGACCTTTCATAACTCCCAATTGATGCACAGCAGTAAAGAATGTGGCTTATTGCAGTTAGAGATAACAGGAATGGCATTTGAAGGAAAAGGTATCTGGGGGCAAGCTGAATGCATTTGATATAAAAATGATTGAGTGGCAATAAACTTCTAACAGCCTGCTTCAGCATGTGCTTTCTCTCCAGTGCTTGGAAGGAGGCTTTGGGTAGTGCCTTTCATCACTTCAGGGTTGATTTTGCAATTATGCTGGTCCTGAAAACCTGTAGAACATGACACCCATTCCCAGTATTTATCAGTATCTCTCATTTGTAGTTTTATGCCTCTTTTAGGGCACTTTTTTTAGTTGGTTCCAGCGGACGATAGCTAACATCAGTTATTGGCAATATTACTGCGTCTTGGAATGGTGCTGGTTATGATGAATAATGGTAGGCAAACCGATACTTTTTTCCTTGAGGAGCACAAATCATGCTTGTCTCCCAAGTGAGCTGATGGTTTGGCAGGGTGAAAGGATGAATAAAAATTGCCTTCCAAGTGCATGCAAGTTGACAGCCTGAAAGGTGATTTTCTTGACTCATATACTTTAGGTTCCTGGGTTTTACATATGGCAAGTCTCCAGAACAAATATTGCTTTTGGAAAACCTAATCAAGTTCTGCCATAGGACTTAAGTTACTGAGTGTCAGGCCTCAAATGATATGCTTGATTTAGACTTCTCTGGAGTTCAAAAATTGTAAATTTTTATCAGCAGTGGTTTCATGGAAAAATGCAAAGTGAAAGTTGAAACTTTTATAAGAATAAATTTAGGCACTAGGGCTTTCAGAGGGGGTGAGTTCCACATAGAAATATAATCTGTTCAGTGTTTTTTTCATGATGCTTTCATTTCCTTGGGAATGCTTTGAAGGGATGCTGTCACCCCACGTCATATTGTGTTTTTACACTACAAACCCTTGTGTAGTATCATGTGCTGATACTGAAATTTGTTTTATTTGTTGGGTCACAGTTTGAGATCCCTTTAATGAAAAGGAAATATCAAAAGGAATTCAACAAAAGGGGAGAGAAAATGTAAATTGGGTCATTTTACTTCTCCCTCATACTCTTATGCTGGCTAGAAGAGACAATTTAATGCAAAAATTTGTGTGTAGTTTCAACTTGTGGTCTGTGGGCTGTGTATTAGGGAAAAAAATTGAGCTACTAGTTCACCGACTGTTCCCCGGAAAAATATCGAAATATGTTTTTGCTTTGTAGGTGGATTTTTTAAAACAGCGTATGCAAAAACTGCAGCATGTGGCCACCACATAGCCCAAGACAAGAGAAATTTGTTGTCATTCAGAATGAATATGAGCAAACTTTGATTGGGAAAAGGAGAGAAAGATGTGATGCAGACATTGAATTGGGCTGTTTAAAAATGGGCAATCAGAGCAATCAGATTGGAATTGGGGAGCTTCAGAGCCCACTGGCAGTAGTAGATCCCGAGGCAGCAGTGAATAAATGGCCTTGTTGGGAAGGAACATTTGGCTTCAGCCGTGGCCAGACTTCCAGGACTTGGAGACAGCAGCTCACTCGGGGAGGTACCTTTGCTCTTGCTTTGGTAGTGCTTGGGTGTCTCTTTGGAGCTGAGCTCGGTTGAATGCTTGGTTATGCAATGAGTAAGTCTTGGTGGTGCTGGATGGTGGTTTTCCTGAAAACAGCCATCTGAAATGGTGTGGCACTGATACAGTGCTGGTGGAAATTCTTGATCTGCAGTTCTTAGTGTTTTCAGTGCACTGCTCTGACCAGCCTCACTGCCTGGCTCATTTTGGAAGGGGCAGCACAGCCCTCCCCTCCCTGCCTTCCCCACCACATTTTCTTTTCTAAGGTGCAATTATTGAGAGACTGAAATGGCTAAGGGAAGGAAGTCCTATCAGGATTTCTCTGAGGAATACACCTGCGAAACAAAGCTTTATTATGCTGTTTCTAAAACTATTTGGGTGGAGAGATGAGAAAGCATTCTCCTGGATAAAATTGCAGCTCCTCTGGTAATAAGGTCTTATATCATCAAGTAAGTAGTGAGCTAATAAAATAGTTTCCTCCCTCTCATCCCAAAGCCTGCTGAAGAATATGTTACTATTTTAATTCTTAAGTATGAGTGCTTTCATTGCCTATCTGCTGTTGTCAGAAAGAGTCATATTATACTGTAATTACTTGGTGGCGTAGAATACAGGAAATTCGTTAAACGTTATGCCTGCAAAGGTCCAATGCTGTCTTCTGTCTGTGTAAGAGTGTGACTGCTGTATTATTGTTACAGGAGAGAAAAGGCACAAAAGGGAAGGCAGCTGTGGCCTGTGTACCTTTGCTGCCTATGTACTTTTTCTGGCAGTCTGGAGTTGCTGTAGATGAGTAACACTTGGCCAGAAGAATTAAAGTCAGGAAATGGATATTTGATGATCATTTCTTTGGGATTTATATAGATAAATGCAAAATACTCTCATCTATGCTAGTCATAAGAATTCTGTAAAACAAGGATGAGTTTGACTAAGCTCTGTTCCTTTTTTGAATGTGACAAGATTGTAATACTATTGCAAACACTCATATTGTAGTTATTTGGGATTGGAGTCTTGGAATTAACCAAATCAGAAACAGGAAGCCTGGCCAATTTTTACTGAAGTACCTCTGTGCAAAATCAATGTTACCAGTCTATCTCTTTGCAAGACAGTTGATTTGGGTATAGGCTCTCTATTGTAAGTGTCACATGGGAATTTTCATAAAATTACTGCAGGTTTTGAATATTGTGTACCCCTTTGTCTTGTTTGCAGGACTTCTCACTAATGGCCAATCTAAAGGATTAGGACCAGGATCAGAGCAGCTGGAGAATGAGAAGGACGATGCGTCGCAAGTGTCCTCAACGAGCAACGATGTTAGTTCTTCAGATTTTGAAGAAGGGCCCTCAAGGAAAAGGTCAGTAGTGAATTACGGTTAAAGTAGAGACTTTCTTCTTCGTCCCTTTTGTCTTAGACTGTTTTTTATGTTATGAGTAGTGTATGGTTGCACCTACTTGCCCTACCATAAAAGGACTTTCCAGCATGGATTCCTTCTATGAACAGCAAAGATACAGCAAACTTTGCTTTATTCATTGGTGTGGATGGTTCTTGTTGCTGTTTTGGAAAGCATGGAAAAGCAGTTGTTATTTTACAATTGATGAATGCTAATTTAAATGCCTTAAGACTCTCTCCTCTTCTGGCTTTTGCCTAAGGCCACGTCTATATGTACGTGTGTGCAATTTCAAGGAAAGCATCACTAAAGTAGTTACTGTTACTGTTGTTATTTTTAGTTTTCCGTGAATTAAACCGTGTAAAGTTAAAAATATAGAAAAGAACAAAACAGATGCTTCTGAGAAGAGGAACTTCATAGTAATGTGGTGTGGTGGCTATCATTTGCAAAGGACTGCTTTGAGATACTGCTGAAGCAAGCTGCCTTCTCTTTCCTAGAAGTCACTGAGTGTGCAAAATGTGGGTTAAAATCATAGACCTCAAGCCAATCAATTACAGAAAATATGCTGAGAATGCAGGCGGCTGGGAGTTGTCCTCTCTGTGAAGTAAGAATGAAAACAGGTTGTCTAAAAAAATGTCTCTTAAAAGAGAGAATCAGAAATGCTTCCTCAACCTTTTTTCCTCTGTCCTCAAACTTTTTTTCCTCTGCACTCCTCACACTGTAGTTCCAAGCCAAAATGAACTGTATAGTTATAATATATAACTATATAACTATGTAACAGAAGTTATCTTTCAAACAAAAGAAGTATCCCTGTTTTCTGTATGACCTTAGAATTCCACTGAGAAGCCTTATGGGGTGAGGAGACTGGTGCTTTCCTGGACACCCTCCTCTTCCAGTGTTTCCCATCCCTGGTTCCCACAATCTTTTCTGTGTCCCCAAGCCAAAAACTCAGACTCTAACTAATGTGCCCACTTAGCTCATCGACAAATCTGAGTAAAATTTGTTATCTTCAATATTAGTAGAAATTTTGCAAGGCTTATATTGCATCCTGCTGCTGGTCAGAGCAAAGATATTTATATTCTGATTTTGTGCTTTGTAAGATACAAGAAAGGATTGAAAATAATTTCTGCTGAGCTGTTTAGGTGACATCTACTGTTGGTGTAATCACTGGGAGATCATGGTCATTATTTCATGGCCAACCTGTTGCTTGCACATTGTCTTAAAGAATTTCTGCTTCCTTCTACACTTAGTTTGTCCCCTCATTCCTCAGCTGTGCTATCATAATGGCTTGCAGGGTCACACCATGAGTAGCTTCAAGAAGCTGGTTAGGATTAAAAATAATAGCCAGAAGAAGATGAATTAAGGCTTTTTGCCAGGTTTCAACGTTTTTTTAATCTGTGCGAGACTTTTATCTCTTGTTCAGAGTATGATTGTAGGAGCAGCTGTGGGTGCAACCAGGGGCACATCCTCATCCTCTCTTGGGGCTGGCAAGGGGCAGGAGGGCTTGTCCCTTACACTGTACCTGCTCCTGGTGCCCTGCACAGTCCAGCTTCAGAAATTAATAGGATTTCTATATCACCAGTCTCCAGAAACTGCACTTGAGTACTACACTTGAGTACTTCCAAATATTCGGAAGAATGTTTGGTAGGTTCGGGCTGAGGGAATTCAGACCCTTGAGAGGCAGCTACGTGGTTCAGGCAAAATAATAGGGAACTCAGTGCCTTTGGTACTCTTCAGATTAAACCCAACCAAAAAATCCAGCCCAAACACAGACCCAAGATGAAAACTTTTTCTGAATTTCATTTCGTTGAAGGCATAGCATCATTTCACTACTTCTTCAAGCATCATGAGCTATAACAATAGTACTACAGTTGTTTTTCTGTTGCTGTGAAGGAGATTGTTCCTGTTTTGTTTCCACTTACACCCAACAGAGACTATTAACTGTTTTTGCTTCCTCCTTGCAGATGAACCTTTTCTGAGTTCCTTCTCTTAAGCTGTAGTGGAGCATGTTGAGTGTTTTTATATCATCTTCTTGTTTCCTTTTAGGCTTTTTGTTTTATTTAGCTGAATGTACAATGTTTCTTCAATTCAGGTTATCTTGCAGTCCCAGAAAGAGTTGTGTTAGGAATACTGGGCAAACAAAGGACATGCAGGAAGATAATGAGAAGGCAAATGTGACTGAAATGGAAAGTGTGGGTTGACTGCCTCAGCTAACCAAATTTCAAGAAGTTATGTCCTCCAGAGTTTCTCAAAATCAAACTTTTCAGTTGTCTGTTCAGCTGGGTGTATAACTAATGACACTCTTGTAATAAAATACACCTTTAAAGACTGTAGCTTTAGCAGTGTATATGGTGAAAGTGTGCAGATGTAATGTAATACTGCAAATTTTTTTCAGAAACTCATTTAGATACTAGGTTTGATAGAGCAGGATTTTTGAATGCAATGACCTGACATTGTTAGGCTTCAAATGGTTCCAACTAAAGGAAACTTCTTACACAACCAGGTTTGCAATCTGATGGGAAAAACTCCCTTCTTTTTACATGTATCATTTTATATTGCAGTAGTATGCTGGACTGCTAAAAGTCTCCAGCCTGCCTTTTGTGGAGCTGCAGATTTCAGCTGCTGGTGGTGGTGGTGATAAAGAGGAGTACATGTACAGCTTTGCCCCTTCACAGCCTCGAGATAAGTCCAGAAAATGTTAGCCCTTCTTAGAGAGTAAATGGTGTTTGGGGAGGATTGGTAGTGGCAAGCTCAATACTTCAGAATACTTAGATTTGTTTGAGTTTACACTCAAAAGGATGGAAAACATCTGAGCTGTGTGTATTACTAGTGGCCACTTCTGAGGGGAAGCAGCAGGGGAATCCTAAGTAGTAAATATTACTTTCAGCCAGTAAAGTTGGAAAGTGCCAGCATTATTCTAACATGTGGCAAAAGCCAAGCATTCAAATGTTGCACTGAATCTGTTGTTTAATGGGTTGCTGTCTAGTTGCCATGTAAATGAGAGGAGTTGCTGGTTTGTTCAATGGTTTGGGGAGAGATGAACAAAACTGTTGGTATATGGACTTGATAAACTGCCAGATCGGGTAGTCTTCACCTTGTAAAGATTGCACATTTTTCAAAACCTATGAACAAAAGGGTATTGCTGAAGGAGAAGTGTAGCTTCCATGTAGCTGCACGTTTTTGTTGTCAATCTCCAGTTTCCAGCTATGATTCTCCATTGAGAAAATCAATAGGTAACTGGCCAAAGGTGTTTGGTCTCTGTGCTGGATGGTTGTACATTTTAATGGGCAGCTCTAAAGACTGCAACCACTGGCAATTAATAACAGTGTACAGAGACAGCTGTAGGTTTTTCTAGCAACCAGTTTCCCACCTTACCCAGGAAGAGACACACAGAGCAGACTTCATGTGCCAGTATGTTGATCTTTGGTCATAACAGGCTATTGCTTGCTTCCTATTACTAATCAGGCAGCTACTCATTTATATGGCCCCCTTCCCAGAAATTCACACAGGGAATTGTCAAATGAACAAATGCATTTGTCTTTTATTTTGAAGTTGTGTTAATAGAGGGCTGTGTGAGGTGAGAAGAGGTTGACTGATTTTGATAACTGGTAAACTTCAAAGTGGGGATTTTTCAAATTTAATATTAGAATATTCTCTGTGTTAAGGCCAAAAAAATACTGGCTTAGTGTAGGAAAAAAATGGGGTTAGAGAAATTTTTTCTCTTGTAGTAGCAACAGTGTGGATGGACATTGCCCACTGGGCCAAGGGTGTGCGGAGCTCCTGGGAGAAGACTACTTTGTCCAGTTCTTTCGTAGGGAAGGCTGTTGGCTGCAGGAGAAAGGAACAACCCACTGGGGAGCAGTAGCATTTTAAGCTGTCACAGCTAGATTGGCCAGAAATTGCTTATTAGGAACCTTCTGAGGCCTTTAATTAATACAGCAGCTTTCTGCTAACAGTCTCAAGCATGTGACAGTCAGAAGTGTGATTGTGCGCTATAGCAAGGCCAACCCATGGGATGTGCTCCTGCTCTTTGCCTTGTGCTGGCTCCCTGCTGCCTCCTCCTTTTTCCTGTATGTCTTTTTTAAATTTTTATTTTTAGATGCCAGTTTAACTCCCTGAACTGTCTCATTGTGGAGCAACAGGAGGGTTAAAGTTTGTCAAATGAAAAGGTGGGGGTGTGTGTGCAAGGAGGGGGAGACCAGCATGCTGACCTCCCTTGGCTGGTGGCTGCACAGCTGCTAGGCTGGCAGAGCTGTTTTGCACCCTCACCATAAAAAAAAGCCAGTCAAGGGTAGGCAGGCTTTTGCATATTAGGCAAGCTGCTAATTTAAGTGGTTTCTTTTAGTGATACATCCTTTTCAATTTGATTTGCAAAGGATTTTCCTGCAGTAAAGTTGTAAAAGGTTGAGGGGACTTAGGGATAGGGTTTTTTCCCTATTTTTTTTTTCTTTTTCTTTTTGTCAAATTGTTTTTATAGCTAATAATGAACAGTCTCTTTAGCACTAGACTTCGCACCTTTCATGCAAGATGTAAAACAAGGTCAGTCCTGTTCCCACATTTGTAAGTTTGTGAGGGATTTCTTCTTGGTATTGTAGGTGATGGAGAGAGAAGTGTATTATGACTCGGGTATGAAAGCAGGGGACTGCTCGTAATATCAAAGTGCTTTTCCAGGACCTTTTTAGTGAATAGTCTTTTCACTAATTGGAACACTATATAATGTATTTGTGTTCAGCTGTTGCCTGCTACAACACAATGTAAGCCCATTTATCAACCAGGTGCTTCTGTTATTTTTTTCTCGTTTCAGTAGGCAGTGCAAATCTGCACTGGTTGTTTGTGTATGAAGAACTACATTAATCCACAAAAAAACCAAAATGGCAATGAGATTTATGTATAATAATTTTTTTGACACCCCACCCCTGCCCCCCTTCTGGGAATGCTGATATGATTGGAATATATTTTAGTGCTGC